AACCTAGCCCAGGCCTACCAAAAAAAAAAAAAAAAAAAAAGTAGCCAGGTGTTGTAGTGGGTGCCTGTAGTTCCAGCTACTTGGGAGGCGGAAGAAAGAGAATCACTTAAGCCCAAGAGTTGAGGTCCCTGTGAGCTGTGACATCATGGCACTCTAGTGAGGGTGACATAGTGAACCTCTGTCTCAAAAAAGAAAAACAAAAAAACCCCAACATTATCAGCTTTATCATGCTGTTAGCGTGTACTCTTGATACGTAATGAGAATGGTACTTCACTTCTCTTGTCTTCCTCCCTTAAACACATAATTCCAGTCTAATCATCAGAAAACTGTCAAATGAGGGATATTTTATAAAATTTCTGATACGTTTCTTAAAATTATCACTGTCATCAAAACAAAACTCTGAGAAACTGGAATTATAGAGCACAATAAAGGACATTAGGGAAAAACTAGTGAAATCTGAATAAAGCACGTGGTTAATAGTAATGCAGTAATTTTGTTTCCTTAGTAGTGACAAATGTACCATAGTCATGTAAGAATTTAAGAGTAAGGGAAACTAGGTGAGATATACTCTGTGTACTATCTCACAATTTTTCAGTAACCATCACACTTTTCTAAAATAAAAGTTTATTTAAATAAAAAGTTAGGATAAAGGAAATGGGGATATGTGAATAAAAATCCTTTGGAAACAAATGATGATAAACACTCTTTCATCCTTTTCTATTTAATGGCAAGACAGAGAGATAATATTCTCATATAGTGGAAACAAAGTTACTAATATTGCAGCCAGGTACAGTGGCTCATACCTCTAATCCTAACACTCCGGGAGGCCAAGGCAGGTAGATTGCCTTAGCTCACAAACTTGAGACCAGCCTGAGCCAGAGCAAGACCTCGTCTCTAAAAACAGCTAGGCATTGTGGTGGGCACCTGTAGTCACACCTACTTGGGAAGCTGACGCATGAGAATCACTTGCGCCCAAAAGTTTGAAGTGGCTGTGAGCCATGAAACCACAGCATACTACCAAGGGCAATGAATTAAGACTGTCTTAAATAAATAAGTAAATAAATAAAATAAAGTTACTAATAAAGCAATACCACAGGCATTGTCAAGTCTGTAATATTAATTCTAAAGTCACATATGCAAATGTTCCTTAAAATTTACTTTCCCAAAGCATCATTTTCTAAACACTTCCACTATTAACTTCATAATAAAAATTTGTAGCACTAGCTGTCACTGTGACATTACTGTATACCTTTATTTCTAGTCATTTAGAACCTATTCTGGTGTTTCCCACACCTCTAAGCGGTCAAACACCTTATAAGTACCTGGGTGATAAACCTTAAAAGATATCAAAGACTATGGGAATTTGTCTTATTCAAAGCTGTATCCTCTGTTACTGTAACAGTGCCTGGCACATGATTAAGTGCTCAAAAAATATTTCCTAAATGAAAACAAGACAGTATCAAATGCTATAGCCCAAAAGAATTATATGCTATTAGACAAGGAAAAGAATTTTCACTTGTTAGAGGAGAAAGTGGGTCTAAAATTCTATGATTCTGAGGCTCTCAGGAAAATCAAGATTTCAGGCAGGTCTTAAGCTTGAGTAAATTTTCAGTAGTAAGAAGAAGAATGAGTACAGGTGCATTTCCAACTACAACAGAAGTTATATTATCAAAAGGGGGTGCCGGCTCGGCGCCTGTGGCTCAAGTGGCTAAGGCGCCAGCCACATACCCCTAAGGTGGAGGGTTCAAATCCAGCCCAGGCCCGCCAAACAACAACTGATGGCTGCAACTAAAAAATAGCCAGGCACTGTGGTGGGCACCTGTGGTCCTAGCTACTCGGGAGGCTGAGGCAGGAGACTCGCTTAAGCCCAGGAGTTGGAGGTTGCTGTGAGCTATGATGTCA